TGTGACTTGCACTATCTACCATGTCATGTTTTGTCATGCATTCTCTAAATATGTCATTTATGACATCAACGCAAGTCATCGTACACGCTCGTCTTGTCGATTGCATGCTTGTCATCTCTTACACAATTATGTCACAACATTATGTACTATTGCTACATCATCTCGTTCTACTCGTGCTCGTCCATACCCATTCATTATTCATACGTAATTGTTAAATAATCTTCACTATCACTGTGCTATGTCACACTGTTTTCTATGTATGTCATCTTAGATATGATGCCCTTGTCAAGTACATTCAACACATGCATCATGCTTACATGCATATCATTATTTTCATTACAAAGAACATGTTAGACACAATGCACCTAGCGTTGGGTCGACATCCACGAGTTCATGCGATTATTTTCGTTCGAGTCCACATGACAATAATTTAGATTTTCAAAATTCAAAGATAATTATATGGGCATTATGTATATAAAATCACTCCATAAAAAGCATGTTAAGAATTTCAACCGAAGAATATGGTACCTGAACAGTGTCAGGGGGCGCTAGCCCTTCTACACACGTCACGAGGATGCTAACCCTTTCCCTCATGTAATTGAACCTCCGGACTTTTGGATCTAGTTTCATCGCACTTAGACCAATTGAACTTTCTTATTAGCTAGCTGACTTCTTTCTAACACTTAGGGGGTGTCTTTTGGGTTTCCGATCATGCCGGTAACTTGCCCCATTCATCGACTCTTGATTTTCCGAAGGCGCTACAGACTGTTTTATCACGATTCATCCATGTTTATCCCATTTAAGGGACATCACTCGATGCCGGATAGAGATTACTCTATCCGGTCCTTTCATATCCAGGCTCAGCAATTCGAGCAGCCAATTGCAGTTTTTTTTTTTTTTTTTGCATTCCTAATAGATGCCCCTACCTTTGGCCCCAGGTGGTGTGAAATGGACATCAACGTTTAGATGGGGCCGGACTGAGAAGTGAAATTGAACGAGCAATTCAATGCCTCACCCCAATAGACCATCCGCTTGGAAGAAGAGAGACCACCCATCTCCCACTCCACCTCCCTCTTGATTAGCATCATCCAATATTCTTTTCTTAAAATGGATATGGAAATTCTTTGATAATCGCTAAATAGCTACGTGCTTTTCTTAATTTAGTTTTGATGAAAAGAAAATAATATATCTCGATTAAGTAAAAGAAAAACGTAATTCTCTATGCGTTTAACGTATACTGCAATTCTCTCCGACCAAAAAAAGAAAAAACGTATACTGCGATTCTCGGTTCCATCATTTAGCTACGATATCAAATAACGTCGAAAAAGTTATTTAAGTTGCGCCAACAGCAAACGTTGAAATTAATTGTGCGTGGGATCTTTATTATTATTATTATTATTTGGGAGCGGCTAGCATGACGATTTTCCTTTCTTTGCTTTTTTATTTTATTTTGACTTCTATGTTTCCTTCTTGTAAGTTCAATTTTCTTGAATATGAAGGAAGAGAAATTAAATAAGATACCGAAATATAAATAATTACAAATAGAAAAATATTATCACTTACTAAAAAGCAATAGTCAATGTCATTATAAAGATCTATTGATTTTAAAAGATGAAAAAACACTTGATACGTTGGCTTAGCAACTAATAACAAAATCATCGTGCAATGAAATGGCTCATCATTCCTTTCGTTCAAATCAAATTGCTCTAGAAGGACTCTCCGATGATCTAAAATTAGGACCGTGATATCAATTATGTATAAAACAAATGAAGTAAAGAAAAGATCAAAATAAGAATAATGAATTAGTAGAGAAAAAAATTTATCCCGTTCATCCAAATCTCATTGATGAAGATATGCCGGGACCTAAAAATTACCAAATCAATCTTAGGATCACATGGTCAAAAGCCAAAGTTAACAAAGAACGAGTTTTGATCAATTTTTATACAAACTTTACCAAATACAACTCCAACGTTTGGTTCATTGAAAAGATTCACATGGCCACGAGACACCTGACCCTATATCATTTCATAAGGATAAAAAGTCAACTTATAGTAAAGTATCACTACAAAAAAACATGGATTTTGCCACGAAAATTTGCGACGGGGAATCTTTCGTCGCTAATTTGCGACGAAATTTGCGACGGATTTTTTTTTCCGTCACAAATTAGCGACGAATAATTATATTCGTCGCTAATTTGTGACGGAATTTGCCACGAAATAAAAATTCGTCGCAAATTAGCGACGGAAAATAAATCCGTCGCAAATTTGCGATGGAAAATAAATTCGTCGCAAAATCCGTCGCAAATTTGCGACGGAAAATAAATTCGTCGCAAATTTGCGACGGAAAATAAATTCGTCGCAAAATCCGTCGCAAATTTGCGACGGAAAATAAATCCATCGCAAATTTGCGACAGAAAATAAATCTGCGACGGAAAAAAAAATCCGTCGCAAATTTGCGCCGGAAATAAAATCAGATGCGAATTTGCGAAGAAAAAAAATCCGTCGCAAATTTGTGACGGAAAAATAAATCAGTCACAAAATCTTGCGACGGAAAAATAAATCCGTCGCAATTTTCAGTTGCAAATTTGCGACGGGAAAAAAAAATCCGTCGCAAATTTGCGACGAAAAAAAAAATCCGTCGTAAATTTGCGCCGAAAATAAAATCGGACGCAAATTTGCGACGGAAAAAAAAATCCGTCGCAAATTTGCGACGAATTTAGCTGCTGAAAAAAATTCGTCGCAAATTAGTGACGAATTTAGTGACGGAAAAAAATTCGTCGCTAATTTGCGACGAATTTAACGACGGAAAATAATTCGTCGCTAATTTGCGACGAAAAACAGTCAAAAAAAGGATTTAGCCACGGAAAATTAGCCACGGATTTAGATTTAGCCACGGAAAAGAAATTCGTCGCTAATTAGCGACAAATTTAGCGACGAAAAAATCAAATAAATTTTAGTAATTAAGTAAAATAACAGTTAGTAATAGAAAATTAATTGGTATTAAATCGTAAAATTGTATTAGTAAGTCATGCAAAAAGAAGCATGACTCAATATAAAAATTGGTAAGTTAAAAAATCAAATGGGTAAGCAACTCAAACTAGAGTTTACAATCCAAAACCAATTGGTAACTTAATTGGGTAAAAGTTAATGAGGCACACAAAAAAGTTGATAATTTCATGTAATAGAAGGTAAATTCAAAGCTGGTAGAAAATTAGAAACGTATTTTTGTTAGAGATAAGAAAAGTCGATCATTTCAAAATAGAAAACCAAATAAACATTGGTAAGTAACTCAAATAAAAGAAGTTAACATAAAACTAGTTAGTAACTTGATCGAAAAAAGTTGGTAATCACTCTAATAAAAGTTAGTAATTTCTAAAAGAGTCAATAAATTTAATAAGTTGGAAACCAATGCAAATAAAAGTAGCAACTTAATAAAAAGCTAGTAAATTTGAGAAAATAACAAATAAATGCTAATAACTCAATTGAGATTTGGTAATCCAAAACTAATTGATTTGATTGGAGAAAATTTACCCAAATCACACAAAGAAAGCTAGGCTGATAGTTTCATATAATACTCCGTAAATTTAAATTATTGGTAAGAAATGTAAATAAAAGTTCGTAAACAATGACAGAAGCTTTGTTTGGTTAGAGATTAGAGAAGTTGGTGTAGAAAAAAAATGAAAATAAACATTGGTAAGTAACTCAATTAGGAGTTGATAATGCAATATGGTAAACTTGATAGAGGAGAAGTTGGTAATCACTCTAAGGATACGTTTGTTTTGCAAAAAACTTAATGATAAAGGAAAGTGTTTTCCGGAAAATCATTTTCCATGAATACGCTTAGTTTTCATTTGTTTGGTGATATACGATGGAAATCGTTTTCTGATGTTTGGATTTCATTGGAAAATGATTTCAATCTTATGACTTTATTTTAGATCAAAAAATAAAAGAATTTTTAAATATTTTTATTTTTAAAAAATCAAATTTCTTAATTATTTTTTATTTCTCTTTTTTTTTATTTTCTTTTTTTTGTAAAAAATTGAATTTTTTAATTCTTTTTTAAAAGGTCGTCGCTAAATCTGTCGCTAATTAGCGACGAAAAATAAATTCGTCGCTAATTTACGACAGAAAAAAAAATCCGTCGCAAAAATTTGCGATGGGAAAAAAAATCCATTGCAAATTTGCGACGGAAACAAAATCCGTCGCAAATTTGCGACGAAAAAAAAAATCCGTCGCAAAATTGCGACGGAAAAAAAAATCCGTTGCAAATTTTTGCGACGGAAACAAAATCCGTCGCAAATTTGCGACGGAAAAAGAAATCCGTCGCAAAAATTTGCGACGGGAAAAAAAATCCGTCACAAATTTGCGACGGAAACAAAATCCGTCGCAAGTTTGCGACGGGAAAAAAAATCCGTCGCAAGTTTGCAACGGAAAAAAAAATCCGTCGCAAATTTGCGAGGGGAAAAAAAATCCGTTGCAAATTTGCGACGGAAAAAGAAATCCGTCGCAAAAATTTGCGACGGAAAAAATAATCCGTTGCAAATTTGCGACGGGAAAAAAAATCTGTCGCAAGTTTGCGACGGAAAAAAAAATCCGTCGCAAATTTTTGCGACGGGAAAAAAAATCCGTCACAAATTTACGCGACGGGAAAAAAAATCCGTCGCAAATTTACGACGGAAAAAAAAATCCGTCGCAAAAATTTGTTACGGGAAAAAATATCCGTCGCAAATTTGCGACGGAAACAAAATCCGTCGCAAATTTGCGACGAAAAAAAAAATCCGTCGCAAAATTGCGACGGAAAAAAATATACGTTGCAAATTTTTGCGACGGAAACAAAATCATTGCGACGGAAAAAAAAATCCGTCGCAAATTTGCGACGGAAAAAGATATCCGTCACAAAAGTTTGCGACTCCTCGCCATGGCCTCCGGAGCCCTAGAGGCCGCAGAGCCTGAAGGCGCGGCGGCTCCTGCCCCCGTCGAGGGCAAGGCGGAGGAGGCGGAGCAAGAGGACCGAGAGATCGCCGCTCTGGAGGAGGAGGCCGAGGCTTCCGACGAGGAGGCTCTGCTGGTCGCCGCCGAGGCCCCGCCGGCTGCGTCGCCTCCGAGAGGCCATGCCCGTGATGTCCATATCCTGAGTTGTGGGTTCCTGCTCATCTTCTCGGCCTACGGTGCTGCTCAGAATCTCGACAGCACCGTGAACAACGTGAGTTTTCCTAGTCGATTTCGTTGGAATTTTGGGTAAATTGAGAGAAGAAATCGACGGTCGTGAGATGAAAACCCAGAGGCAGATTTTGCACTTCTGGGTCTGAGGTTGCTTGTAGGAATGTTTTTTTGGTTCGTTTGACGTTGCGTTTTGGTTTGATGAGTTTCTTGATTTTTGTTGCAAGCGGATAATTTGGGCACGACAGGCAACGCAAGTAAAGAAGAAAGGCAGACAGGCAACGCAACAAAGAGATATAGAATCTACAGTAGAGAACATTAGTGATTTGGAGGATGATCAAAGCCATCGTGCGGGGAAGTCGCTTTTGCACTCAGTGAAGTGGGAGCGCATTATTTTGGATGAGGTGAGTGAAAGGGAGTATCTTGCGGTGATATGAGTGCTAACATAGTTCAATGCTTTGTAACCGATATAAAGATTTCGATATGTCCATGCTGGCAATACGTGATTCGTTATTTTGTTTGGCTGGGTGAAGCCACGCATGAATGCGTTAATTTGCTCTTGGCAAGACAAATTTCTGTAAGATTAGGCCTTTCGATTGAAGGTTTGATTACTTTTAGGGAACCGTATATGCATGTTCTTTTCCACAATTTATCAAAAAAACTTCTATCCGGGATCTCTTAGTATGATTTGCTTCGTGATCTTTGAACATTCATCTGCATGTACATTTCCCACTTATGCCTATGCAATTTTATTCAATGTAGGCTCACTTTGTCAAAGATAGGCGATGTAATACTGCAAAAGCAGTTCTCGAACTGGAGTCTTCATACAGATGGGCTTTAAGTGGAACACCTCTTCAAAATCGTGTTGGGGAGCTCTATTCTCTTGTAAGTTTCTATTTTATACGAGTGGTTAATTGTTATTCACCTTCTGTAGTCAATCACATTGTCCTGCAATAAACTTTTCGGGTCCGTTTTCTTCAAATTGTTGTCTGGGTTGACTTCACTTTCATTATCTTAGTTAATGCAATCTCACTCTTTGTTTTCTGCATTAACTTTATCGATTGGTCTTAGAGCTTCACCTGCTGATTGCATGCACTGAGTTCAGTGAATGTATTTTTCCTTTGTTACCTATTTTGTAAGTCTGTTGTTCATTTGCAGTTCCTCAAAACAATGTCCTGAATGCTCTCACAGTTCTGTATGGCACTTTTGTTGGTGGAATCGAGTGAGTTGCATTTTCATTGGTCCTTTGGCCTCTCTCTCTTTTTTTTTTGGGCAAATCATATGGAATGTTTTCATTTGAACTCTGATATGGAGTATATATTCTATCTAGTATATAGCGAATCCTATACAAGCACATGGAAATGCCGTTGGCAGAAGGCGAGCAATGATATTACTAAAACACAATTTTGAAAAACATTTTGCTGAGACGCACAAAAAAGGGAAGAGCTGCTGATCTTGCACTTCCACCTAGAATTGTGAGTTCTCTTGCATATGTGTACAATTGCAATTCAGCATGTCGAAGATTTTTAACTTAAATCCACCGCTTCCTGCTCTCTTCACTTTCCCTGCAGGTTACTTTGAGGCGGGATACACTAGACATTAGAGAAGAGGATTATTACACATCATTGTACAATGATAGCCAATCTAACCTTGTGCGGTGTGCATATTGATTGGTAGGTCCGTTAATCTAGGCTTCTTAATTTGCTCTTTCAGAGGATCAATTAGACTGAAAATGTGTCACCAGAAATTTCTAGCAATTGCTTTCATGGCCTAAAGATATATAAATGTTCTAAGTGCAATCCTTTTAATTTTGGATGCGAAATTTTGGCAATTGTAGGCATTTCACTTTCTTCTCTGGGCTTGTGGGACTTTGAGTATCGCATTGTATGTCAACAAGTGAATGTCACTTCTTTGGAGGAGGTGATGAAGCACTTCATGCAAACCTTATAGGAGAAAGCAGAGTGGGCGCAAGATTGGAAGTATCTTTTCATACATATCGGGGATAAGCTTTGCTTCAGCATCTTCAGTGCCAGAAGTGTAGTTGGCCCAATATGTTCCTGCCCTGGAAAGAATTGCCACCCTGAGGTTGCTTAAGCAAGTGCTTTAAAGTGCTCAAGATTATTTATTCTCTCATTATGTGTACTATAAATAAAAATATATATGTCATTCTTGTGGAAAATGCAGATGAATGTATTTCATTTTCATATTATTATAATATTTTGATGTTATTAAGTGCTTAATCAATGTTAAATATAAATTGTAGGAATTAATTTTGTTGTTAATTAGATTTAAAATCGAAGTCGTTCCTAAACAATATTCTTCGCTAAAGAATTAATAAAAATTCGTCGCTAAATAATTAATAAAAATTCGTTGCTATTATTGACCAAAAAAAAATTGGCAAATTAGCGATGAATTTTGTCACGAATAATTAGCGATAAATAATTAGCAACGAATTTTGCAATGAATTTTGTGACGAATAATTATTGACGAATTTTGCGACGAATAATTAGCGACGAATTTTGCGACGAATAATTAGCGACGAATTTTGCGACGAATAATTAGCAACGACTTTTGCGATGAATTTTGCACCGAAATTTGCGACGAATAAAGTTCGTGGCTAATTTTGCGACGGATTTTGCGACGAATTTTGCGACGAATTTTGCCACGAATTTTGCCACGAATTTTGCGACGAATAAAGTTCGTGGCTAATTTTGCGACGGATTTTGCGACGAAATTTGCGACGAATTTTGCCACGAATTTTGCGACGAATTTAGCAACGAAATTTGCGACGAATTATTTGCGACGAATTTTGCGACGAAATATTTGCGACGAACTTTGCGACGGAAATTGAAATTTTCCGTCGCAAAAATTTGCGACGACCTAGTAGCGACGGAATTTGTTCCGTCGCAAAATTCGTCGCAAAATCGATTTGCGACGGATTTTTGCAATTTTTTCGTCGCAAAAAACATGTTTTTTTGTAGTGTATGTTATTCAAAACAAAATAATAATAATAAGTACCGGCAACGATTTAAAATATATGGATACGAACTCCATCCATCCAAATGAAATTAGAAGAAAAAATTAAGCATTTTATGTCTAAAATATATAGATACAAACTAAAATTCAACGACAATGAACACCTCTTACTTTCTTGCAATCAAAGAATCAGAGATTAACAAACCTTTCTCCACAATTATGGCTTAATCGATCACAAAATCCTACGATAATCGGAAATCCAAAGTATACAAAATATTTACATCCCTATTTTTTTAATTATTAAGTTTTTTTTATTTGGGAACAATATCCACCTATTGTTTTAAAAGTTGCAACTGAGGTTTTTATATATATTTATATATTTCTAATTGTTTGAATGTTTTCACCTCGATTTGTTTCTTTAAATAAGACAACTTGTGATTCGTCTATGAATCTTGCCAGGTCTAAACGTGATTTAAAGGGTAAACAATATGATTATAGTATTCCTGGCCTGCGAAGCCATAAAGCTTAGCTCCGTTGCTAGAGTGTACACTGAACAAAGAGGTGTTGACTTCAACCCTGATATATATATGTATGTAGCCCTGCACCTCCCAGCTATCCTGCCTTGGCGGGTCTGTATGTCCACTCAACGTCGAAAATGCTTTCTTCGACAGTCCTGAGCGAGATGAATCCAGACCTCCTGGGTTTGTGCATTCTCTGTTTCCAAAATCCTAACCACTTCCAGAATTACATAAAGCTTTCTAATTGTTTAAAATAAGAACTGAAAAGAGACGCCTCGCACTTGGTATTCTTGCTTGCTTATACTACTCAAGTCTTATCAGCATATCCTCCCACGGGATAGCCATATATTTCTGCTCCAAATTAGCCTTTGAACATATACATCGCTAACAATTATTACAATGGCACATTGTTTCGTTCACATGTTGAACGAATGAATGAAAGAGGAATCATGGGAAACTTTTGAACTTGACATTCCAGCACTTGGAATGTTAGGTTGAAGAACAACTGGTGAAAAAGAAAACAAGCGTTAGATGCCGAGACCAGACTTGATCTTTTGGTACATAAATGCTAAAGCAAGAAATCAAAGAGAAAGATAAAAGGTAGATAGATGCTTCCAGTGGAAGAAAGTTCTCTCTCCTGTAACCCCAAGGACAATCTCGAGCTCTCTGAATTTCCACATATTCTGGGGATGCTCTGGTTTGGAGGCACATTTTGCAGGGCAGCTCTCCAAAGTTTGTGAGGGCATAGCACCGAGAGCTTGTTCTAGTTAACTAGCAAAGAGATGAGGCCAGGAAGACCTGGAGGACCTCCAGGTTGGAGCCCTCCTCGGCCGGGGCCGCCGGGATTTCTCGGTGGCTTTTGCGACGCGATAGGCTCTTGGTATGTGAATGTTATTTTCCCTTTGTGAGGTTGTGCAATGCGAGTTTATTGTTAGTAAGATGATGATTTTAGGAGTTCTTAATAACTACATTGTGGAATAAACCAAACGGATTAATTTTTTTCTCACTCAAGAAAACCAATCAGATTTCAACAAATTGATTGTATGTAAAGAAGACGGAATCGTTATACTTTTGAAATATGTAACATCTCGACATTATTGGTCCGTCGACATGCCAAGGATGCAGTGGAGCGCGCTCCATAGTGTACATTCTGAGGAATTTCTATGCACGTTAGATTCCACATAAATCATCGATATATCTTGGAGGCGTGAATAGGGGAATCATATGTTGGAATTTGTCTTACTGATTTATGCCATATCTACTTGTCTGCTCTGGTTTCATATTTCTCTGCTTCGGGGAAGCTAAGGAATCTTGCTTAACGTTATTATTGAGTCACTGCTATCGGAACCGAAGCGAACCGAGTTTTATTTTTCGTTCTGTGATGCTTCAAACAGCTTGAGCTTGTTGTGCTGTTGCTGGTTGATACGAGACTGTTTCGGCGGTCCTTCCCCGGGACCTCCCGGCCCATTTGGACCGCCTCGCCCTTGAGCTCTCATGCCATGCCGGCTCGAACACACGGGATCGCTCGCACCAGCTTCTCTCATGCCCGGTTTTTTGTATTCTGTGTGTAGTGCAATAACCAGACTCTATTTCTCTATAGGAAAGGAGCACCTTATTTCCCCATCCCATGTCCGAATTCAGTTATCAGTTTCGACGACACGGTCATATGAATTGTCCGTGGGAATCCTTTGTTTTCGATAATCAGTTGTTTTAGACCATGTATTTGAAGTTTACATAAGTTATGGAAGTCTTCATCAAATACTCTGTTTTCTATTGATTTCTCAGAGTTCAGTTGAGATTGTAATGCAAGCCAATGCCTCTAGCAGGGTCATGATATAGATGAAGAAGTGACTTTTCAGATTGAACAGGAAAGCTGAAAGAAGGGATAATTCTACCGTTTCGACAAAAAAGAAAAGGTTAATACCATAAAAAAAACCCCAAACTTGTACACCTGTGACAAATTTACCCCAAACTAATATTTTGATCACAAAAAACCCCAAACTGGTACACCTATGATAAATTTATCCCAAACTAATATTTTGACTACTAAAAATCCCAAACTGGTACATTTGTGACAAATTTACCCTCCGTTAGTTTCCGTTAAATTAAATTAATGCAAAAAAAAAAATCACAAACTGTTACACCTATGATAAATGGAGGATAAAACATAAAACTGGCACATCAGTCAACTGTCGTATATCATTTAACAAAGCAATTTGACAGTAAAATTTAATGGAAACAAACTGAAGGTAAATTTGTCACAGTTGTACCAGTTTGGGATTTTTCGTGGTATTAACCCAAAAAGAAAATAGTCTTTTTTTCCTATTGAAATAAATAGGTGATAAGTGTCAAAAAACGGTCGGTACAAAAAAGTTACTGGTCACTTGGTTTTCTGGTAATTTATTGGTAACCCACGCACACTTTTTTGAAATACTAGCTCTTTTTTACAGTTCACAGATAATCAACTTTTCTTATTTTTTTACTTACTTGTTGGCAAACCCAAACTACTTGGTAAATCATTTTACTTTATGTTGGAAATTTCATACGAGAGCCATTAAATTCAGAGCGTTGGTAAGTTATGCTAATAAAAGTTGATATATTAGTACATAAATTGCTAATTTGTGAATTACAAAAAAAGATTGTTTGTAATTTCATAAAGATGCCGGTAAGCTACCAACAAAGCTAACATATTTATTCATATGTACTAATCTTAACTGACTATGAAATGTTGTAAGTGTTTAGATATAAAATATATTTCATGTCCTTCGTTTATAATACTAAGCTATTCAAATAAACAACTTAACTTCAACTTCGTATCGAAATCGGAAATCTCAAACTTAGAGAAATAATTCTCCATAACCCCTTTACGCATTTACGGTTTCCCTTATGTAGTATATCTAGGGCTTCTCAAATTCTTTTACCTACTCATATTTGTGCCTGTATGCGTCAAGACTTTCATCATCTTATCGACCTTTCCGCACGACGAAGAGTGTTAAAGATCTAAAATACATTTCTATTCATTCTCCAACCTACCAAGATTTCAGAATAAGCAAACCCCACACTAAATCTAACGCCAACATTTTGAACTGAACGGAGTGAAAGTTCCAAAGAGCTGCGGACAAAAGCGGCCGTCCTTCGATGTCAAACATGATGTTGACTTTTGCTGTCTATTATCATGGAAACTTAAGAAAGATTAAGAACTAATTTCAACCGGCAGATACAAACTCTATGCATTTTCTGAGCGTTCGCACCGGTTCATGCAAAAAGATGCTTAAAGTTACCTGGTGAAAAAATTATCCATAAAGTCATAAACCTAATTATACGGAAGATAATTTAGTTCTAAACCTTTCAATTATGCTAATTTAATCATAAACATTTTGACGATTTATCAATTTAGTCATAAAACCTTTCAATTGAGCTAGCTTAGTCCTAAAATTTTTTATGATTTGCCAATTTAGTTTTAAACCTTTTGACGATTTACCAATATAATCCTTCTAGCCAAATATCCAAATAATAGGATTAAGATTAAATTGGCAAATCTTCAAAAGGGTTAAGACTTAATTGGCAAATCATCAAAAGGTTTAAGACTAAATTGGCACGATTGAAAGGTTTATGACTAAATTGATTGATGTACAACAGGTTTATGACTTTTTTACAATTATCTCGTTACTTAATAAATGAAGGCAAATGACTTCTACACATCCAACAAATCAAGTAATCGATTGCTTTCAGTCAAGTAATCTATGCACTCAACCATGGCCTCGATCATCCATGCACTTGGCCAAGACCATGATTCATCATGGCCGCAATTTATGATCCATGCACTCGGCCATCTTATATACGGGTTACGCCGACTGCAGTCACGAAAACTCTGACATGATGTTGCAAACTACTTTCATTAGGCATTTAAGAGAGCGAATCGCATTCAAACATACCGAAAAAGAGCATATCGTGAACGATTCGCGAGTTTTAACTTTGTAGATCATTCTCTTTCGCCGCGCGCACGCAATCATTATATATTATTCCCACGCCACAACATCTTTCGGGTGATCCGTGCTTTGTACAACGGGCAAGTGAGAAACCATGCACGCATTATAAGGTCGGCAAAAGTGAAGGGGTGGAACGTTAGGTTTGGACTGGTTGGTGCATAACTTCGCTTCCTCAACCAACTGTGTAGGGTTTCCACCATTACTTAGCTACGAAGCTCCTCCTCTTTTCCTCCCTCTATATATATATACATTCGATCCATCAACTTCATTATCCACGTTCTCGCAACTTCCTCCATCGATTTGAAAAGGAGAAAGAGAGAGATCGATCGATCATGCCTCCGCCGTGGGGACCGCCACCGGGGCCGCACGGGCCTCCGGGGCCGTTCGGGTTCCTGTGCAATGGGATATGCCGCCTCGTCTCCGCCTGGTGAGCCCATCTTCCTGTGTCGACGCCTTCTACTTATATTTTGCATAGTAAATTTATGCCAACATTGCGTTTATTTCGAATCACAACCAATGTTGAAAGAAGAGAGGGGAATAATGGAAAGGGAATTACGATTCAAAATGTATACAGATAGCGATTTTCTCGAGTATTTAAAAAATTAATTTGTGGTAATTTCCTGTCATATATTTATGGAATTATATTTATTTTTATATTTCGAGAAGTAAACGCAATTTCATAATTGATTTTGAATTGGATTTTGATTTATTTAATTTTTCTTTTGCAGTGCCTACGTGCTGTGTTGCTGCTGCCTCTTGGAGAGTTGCTGCGGGCCGATGTTCGGCGGGCCCGGAGGCCCACCCGGAGGCCCACCACGCTTCTGAGCTCACCTCTTTTACCTGGAAAACGTAGATGTCCCAAGAAAAAAAAAAAAGAAACAATAAATTTCGAGATCGAGAGAGATCGATAGAGAGAAGACATTTGATCGTCGATGTATTTCATTTCATGCCAGTTTTCCAGAATTCTACACGTGTCCGTGTTTTCTTCGTACACGATGTCGTTTAGACGGTTGACTCTGCCTACAAAACGATGACCGATGGATAGCGTGGCAAATTTGGTGTGTGGACGACATTAATGCCACCCTTTTTTTTCTCTTTATGTTGGTGTCCTCACACATCATCCAATTCAATTTATGAGGCCCTCTTCTTTTTTCCCTTATGTTTAAGTTTCCAACTATGGAAAATTCATGCAACGTATCGATTTGGATCGCGGTAATTCTATTTAACAATATTCGTAAGGTCTCGTCAACATTCAGAGCAATAAAAGTGCTTTTGTGTACGTATTCGATCTAGTAAAACAGTTCTATGAGATCTGATGTACATATTCGATCTAGTAAGTACTTTTGTGTCTCGAGAATTTGGTCCAGTTGAGGATCCCATGTTTTTTTTGTTTTTTTTCTTAAGAAAATGTGAAGCCTGAGCTTTGAATGGTAGGTTATAATGCAAGTTGAGGATCCCATGTTGCATTGGGAAACAGTCCTCTCGTTTCTCTCTTCTTCCCACTTCTCTCTTGTCATCCGATTTTTTTGTGACCACAAACCTGCACTTTACTTTACACAACTCAACAAAAGCCTTCCTATAACTCTCACGAGTTCACGCGCGGCGCACGCACAAAGAGAGAGAGAGAGAGAGATCGATGCCGGGTTGGGGACCGCCGCCGGGAGGACCTCCCGGACCGCCGGGGCCGTGCGGTTGCCTAGGCTTCTGCTGCGACGGTATCTGCCGGCTCGCATCCGCATGGTGAGCGCTTGTATTTCTTTGTAATTGCCCCTCCAGTCCATGATGCCCTCATATGGCCTTTAAAGTACAGTTTTGTAAGAGCTCTGCAAGTCCAGTTTTAAAGAGTAGTTTGGCTAAGATGACTGACAGTAGAAATACTTAGAGCAGTGCTGATTCAAAAGGTCTGAGCTAAGCCCTTTCAATCCTCTCAAATTCGACAGATAACTAAACAAGTAATTAAAAAAAAAAACCTGATGACATCTTATTCACGAGCACGCTTGTTCATATACGACGTCGAGAGCGCGAGCGAACCCGAGGGGGCGATCGGGCGGGAGCCATCCGCCTCGGCCGATCGGTGCTCGGCGCAATTTCTCGAAATCCCTGGGCAATTTGCAATTCGACTCGATGAATTGATATCAAAATTCCTGCATCTGACTAAAGTCTATAATCTATTTCCCAAAAGTAAAAGAGAAAAGTGATACACATGAAGGCTAATTTCTCTTCTGTATATCTTTGGTTTCCCAGTTTCTACTACCTGTGCTGCTGCTGCATCTTGGAGAGCTGCTGCGGACCAGTTTTCGGCGGGCCTCCTGGTGGGCCCCCTCCCTTCTGATCGGCCCATTTACTCCTCGTGATGATTTGGTGTATTGAAATTTATGTTTGTGGGGTCCCTCTTCTCTTTATGACTTGCTCGCTAGGCTGTACATATAAAGACCATTTCATATTTTTTGGGTCAGAAATAAATCCTGGAAATAAAAAATAAATTTTAGCCATTATTGTACAATCTGTACAAGTTTCCAACTACGTCACAACTCACATTAGCCATCATCATGGGCCTGGGCCTGGGCTTCGTGGAACTTGGGCCATCGTCGTGTATGTTGTATATGCTCGATCCTGGCACGAAATCAGCAAAGCTAGATCCGGGTCGATCCTATTTCATGTCCAAATTACGCCGCGTCAGTTCATATTGACACCATTCGCAAAATTTGCCAGTATTCAAGTCCAATCAGCAATGGCGAAAATTTGACTAGCGTGACGAACACGGGGATGGAAGGTATCACGAAAAGAGAATTTTTGCAAGACAAGTTTGATTCATAATGTAACAAGAGTATGAATTCCGCGCTCGCATTGTAGTTAATATTGTGCGGGCTTATATAGCTCGAGCTTTAGTAGTTGATTAAAAGAAGAATTATGCGGAACTGCAGATCATTAAGAAAAAGTTCATCAGTTAATAGCGGAAGTAATAAAGTAAAATAACTAAAAAGTAGACCCAAGTAACTCTTGTTCTTATGGTGTTTGACTATGCCTCTTCCTATATCAATGCTTCTCGATTTGGTTGATATCGACTCGGCTATCGATTGATAGGTGGAGACGGCTCCTGCCTAGTCGACTCGATTGTATTGGCTTCTCGTGGTCAAAATTATATTTTTGACCGTCGACTGTAATTTTACAATCAATATCAGATTACGTGGTTGGTCGGCATTTACTCTTCCCTTGTTGAGCTCAACATTGTCTATAACTCGGTCAACCCTCACAATCAATCTTGACCTCGTATTGTCACTACGGCTAAATTTAAGAAATTCCTATTTGTCTCAGCAGTCTTACCACGTCATCATTGACGTCGGCACAATTCCAAACACACTGTAGCCAAAGCCGATGTGTAATCTATAGCATCAATTGTTGAGATGCAGGTTCAAATTATGTTAAAAGGGTCCCACGTCAAAAAATTAGTGTGGATCTTAGTTGACTCGTAACACATTTACTTAAATTTTTTAATTAAAGGTAGGTCGATCTGAATATGTTGACGGTTTAAAATTTGGCTCTTCTTTAGCCATCTCTCTTCGAGCGAAGGTATCGGCGAAAATCGATGCTGGCCTAGCACCCCAAATTCATAGCGGTGGAGTCAAATTGCCAAGCCTATCAGTGCGAACGGATCGGTGGCATTGAAGCGTACCCATCCGGAACGCAAAGCACGCACGATTCCAAAAGGCGATGAGCTGGTACAGAGACAGATCTCCTCTCTCTCTCTCTCTGCAGACACCACAGATCAGCACGTAATGGACAGCGTGGGTACACGTGCTCTGCTCCGCTCTCTCCTTTCGTTTTCAGCACATGAAGGAGTCGAACCCATTCCTACCCACGTAACGACCCCAAAACAGTGATGCTGAAAAGTCGTGGGGCTTATCACCAATCCGAACGATCAATCGCTCTGGCCATGTGATAGCTCATCGCGAACGTGTACGGACGTGATGCGTGCGTGCTTGAGTTGTCGAGTGAGCAAGAAAGCCGAAGTTGGCCCTCGTCAATGCAGTGACGTCCAAGACATCCAAGGGCGGAATCATTCTGGCTGTGGTTGGATCTGATGATACCAATCGAGTGTTTCGAGAAACTTAACGTTCGGCCCACGCATGAGGCAAGAAAAGGCGTTTGGCAAACGAAGGACATGGATCCTCTGCTGGCTTCGGTATACGATCGTCTGTCCCGTTCACGAGATTGCGACAAGGTCGTGCTTTACCTAGTGCCAACCAGACTTTGGTTTATCTATTTATTTTCTCGCTAGATTGCGAATTGTATTCTGCATCAAAAATCTATCCTGGAAATAAATAAATAAAAATTAGCCTTTATAGTACAATATCTTGGGAACTTTTGTTCATATCAATTAGGTCACAACTCACACGGATCATTTAGTTACTAAAGTACATGGGCCTGAGCTTTGTGGGACCTGGATCGTCATCATATATTGTATATACTCGATTCTGGCACGAAATTAGCAATATTGGATCCTGATCGATCCTATTTCGTGTCGAAATCGCGTCATGTCGGTTGATATTGATGCAATCTGCAGTTTGCTTGCATTCAAGCAAACCTGAATGCACAAGGAGAGAAATTTTGATTGCTCACCAGCCTCAGACATAACTTCCAACAACGACAATAGAGACGGCACTAGGCTTCTCAACTTGACCACACCTACACGGACACACTCGCATAGAGAAGAGAGAGGAGGAGCTCCCTTTGGCAATGGTCTAGACCATAGAGAATCCAATTTGTCTCAATGGTCTCACCGCTCGCTCATCAACATTGGCATTAGGAGTGATCGGTTTCCGATCTGGTCCGGTCCTACTTAGGAATCGGGAATATTGAGAATCAGACTAGGAGAATCGGTTCTTAGAAACTAAGAACCGGGGACCGGTCCGACCGGTCCGGGCCAGTCCAATGGAATCGATAACTATAACATTCTCCTTCCACGCAAAATGAGCTATCTCTTGTGTAATGTCTACAAGTCCAATGATCTTGCACAAGTCTATCCAACTTGTGTTCTATGTCAAGACAAGAACAATGTGTACACGTTGCACAAATCTATCTAGTTTGTATGCTATCTCCTTCCAATAATTTTTTTTTAAATTTTCTCCTTGTCTTCCACATATACATAATTCTTTTTCCCGGTCCGGTCCGGTCCTACTTAGGAACCGGGAAATACTAGGAATCAGACTGGAAGGATTGGTTCCTAGTTTCTAAGAACCGGGACTGGACCAGTGGTCCGATCCATTCCAATGGAATTGATGACTATAACGTTCTCTTTCCACATAGAGTGAGCTATCTCCTTGTGTAATGTCTACAAGTCCAATGATCTTGCACAAGTCTATCCAACTTGTATTCTATCTCAAGACAAGAACAATGTGTACACGTTGCACAAATCTATCTAGTTTATATGCTATCTCCTTTCAATAATTTTTTTAGTAAAATTTTTGCCTTGTCTTCCACATATACGTAATTCTTTTTCCCAGTCCGGTTCAGTCCAGACGGTTCCCAGTTCGAGCAGTTCCCATTGCACACCCCTAATTGGCACCATCCAATATCATATTCTATACGGTGTCAACAAAGATATCTCGCTCATGAGTGCGAGACCAATGGTAGTAGCCTCGCACACCAAATTCGAAAGCAGCGAGAGGCAGGTCGCCGAAGCTTATCGATGCGGAGGAAATCGGTGGCATTGAAGCGTGCCGACCGAAAGCTCAAGCGCGCTCGATTCCAAAAGGCGGATGAGCTGGTGCAGATCTCGTCTTCTTCTGCAGACATCGCAGATCCTCGCGATCTGAACACGTTCTACACATATGGCCAACGCGGGGGACAGGTGCTCTCACTCCTTTCGCTTTCAGCACATGAAGACGAACCTATCCCGACCCGCGCAAGATCCAAGACACTGCGCTGAAAAGTCGTGGGCCTTATAACCAATTCGAACGAACGATCATCGATCTGGCCGTGTGATAACTCGTCGCGAATGCGCACGGACGCGTGCGTGCGTACGGGAGTTGTCTCGTGAACATGAAGCCGAAGCAGGCCCTCATCATGTAGTAACGTCCGAGACATCTAAGTGTTTAGTAATTATTGTGGTTGCGGTGGGATCCGACGAGATTAATCGAGTGTTTTGGGAGGTTTAATCGTCCAGCCTACGCAAGGGGGGGAAAGAAAGAAAAGTACTATGCCCGTAGTTGCTCCTTCACCTAGGGCCACCCTATACTTCACCTAGTTGCAACCTCCCGAGCACATCACCGCGGAGCGCCGACTGTTGAGCTCGTCCATCCCTTCGGGTCGTCATGTCGTGCCCTTGATCCTTGTCTCTCTCTCGATCTCTCTATAGATCGTGATAGGGCTTTGATGCGTTATTCACAACGATCGAATTTTCATCAAGACATAATCATAAGCTCTATGCGTGCTTGTCTTGTCGTGCCCTCTCTCTCTCTCTCTCTCTCTCTCTCTCTGCTCAAGCATAAGCCCGTGCTGAGGGGTAACGACCCACTACAGTTAATCGAAAGATTTAGCTTGGTTAATATGAAGATAACCCTTAATTACATAGAGGCTTGTTAAAAATACTTGAAATATTCTATTTTCTCTGCATGGATTGTGTATCTGACAACTGTATTGGAAATCGTGATATTTTTTTGTTTGGTTACTTAACAAATGTCTCCGAGATAGTTTTTAACAAATTCCAATTATTCTTATAATACACTAATTGATCTCGAGGCTCAACCAGCACGCGATCAATAGATAAAAAAAGGGAAAAAATCACAAAAAACTCTAAACTTTGCCATCCGTGACACATTTACCCCGAACTTTTTTTTGTTACATAAAAAATCCCGAACTTTACTTTTTGTGACACATTTACCCCAATGAATTTAGTTCATGGGAATTTTCGTCTTTTTTGCTTTTCTTTTTTTTTTTTTCTTTTTTTTTTCCTTTCCGGCGAGGGGGGCCCTCGCCGGCGTCGAGCGAGGGCGGCCCTCGCCGGCGTCGGGCGAGGTTCACCCTCGCCTGGGCGAGCGAGGGCGGCCCTCACCCGACTCAGGCAAGGTCGACCCTCGCCGGCATCGGGCGAGGGCGGCCCTCGCGCCGATCGAGCGAGGGCGACCCTCGCTCGACGCCGGCGAGGGTCGCCCTCGCCCGATCTGGCGAGGGCCGCCCTCGCTCGCCCAGCGAGGGCGACCCTCGCCGACGCCGGCGCGGGTCGACCTCGCCCGACGCCGACGAGGGTCGCCCGACGCCGGCGAGGGTCGCCCTCGCTGGGCGAGCGAGGGCCGCCCTCGCCCGACTCGAGCGAGGTCGACCCTCGCCCGACGCCGACGAGGGTCGACCTCGCTCGAGTCGGGCGAGGGCCGCCCTCGCTCGGCGCCGGCGAGGGCAGCCCTCGCCGGAAAGGAAAAAAAGAGAAAAAAAAAAAGAAAAATCAAAAAAGACGAAAATACCCATGGACTAAATACATTGGGGTAAATGTGTCACAAAAAGCAAAGTTCGGGGTTTTTGGTATCACAAAAAAAGTTCGAGGTAAATGTGTCACAGATGACAAAGTTTGAGGTTTTTGGCGGTTTTTTCCCATAAAAAAACAAGTAACGCGATATTATATGATTGGTGGGGGCAAAATTCAAAAATGTATATCAAAACAATAATATCATTATTTCTCTATTAAACCCCTGATCTTAGGATGACTTATGTTGAATAGCAAAGGAAGAAAGCTCTACATACGAAGCTAGCCTGCAATGTCACTAAGGCTGCAAACATCAACAAATTACCTAACTTTTAATCAAACATATGCAATACACCTAACATATCCATCCTACCAATGAATAAGACATTAAGCTTTAGGTGTTTATGCGATCATTGACCATACAAGGTCCTAGCTTTGATCGCTCTCCTTTCTCGATTTAGATTAAGGTCAAGTTTTGAGAGTTTTACTCTTTCAAACTAGACCCAGATATAGATTCGGGAGCTCCTTACAGATATTTGATCTGTGTTTATTTAACATTTTTTTATGTTTGTGTCGCCGCATGGTGATGGTGATGAGGACGTTGAATTAGATGCGCATCGCAAAACGTTGCAAATGGAGTGGGAGATCTCGGCGTGTGTTCATCGCTAAATCTGATGATCGGCCGCCGATCGTTTATGATGGTAGATTTATTCTTGAGAGATGAGAGTATACTTCTAGCGGCAGACTTAGTCGTGGAAAAATACTTTTCCAAATAATCTGATCCACCATTGGTGTGACTGATGTAGTTAAGATTATTAAATGAAGGATGGATAAAATTGAATGTGCGAATATTTTTTTTTTTACATCAGAGGTATGCGTGCCCTAATTTTTTTTGTAATATATAATATGTATATATGCATATAATATATATGTGTACACGCACGTGCCAACAAAATGATGAATGTTTGAAAATTGTCATATTCAAAGGATAACCACACAATTTGTCAAAAAACTTGGCTTGAGGTCGACATTTCTTCGCACGTCATCTTAAGTGTGTCCAACTTGAATAGAACCTCTCCAGTCCTCCAAAAATAAATAAATAAATAATTATAATTATAAATAATAATAATAATAATAATAATAATAATAATGCTATTTTAATCGGATGGCCTAAAACAATTGGATTATGTGGTGTGAAATGGACACCCCCATTGTCGCTTTCAATCAAAATCATATTTTCGTTTTCCAGCATAACCCCTAGTCAATCAAATTTCAAATCGTATATTTATATATTCATTTTGATTATTTATAATAGTCGTCTTTATTAATTATTAATTATGGATTTTTTTTTTGCATATTTCCTTATCTTATATATATTTATTCCTTTTTGGAAATAAACTTCCTCTTTTGTTCTTGCCAGACCCATCAACTTCGAGTGGAGTTCTTATTGAATGTGCACTAATTATGGGGGAATTAATTAATCAACTTTTAATATTTCCTCTTCCATTAACGGTGGGTGAATTAATTAATCAACATTTTAAATTGCCTTCCTCATGGACCGAGCATAGGACAACACATTAATAAATAGCAATTTTATGAGATGCCGACGAGGCGAAGCCGCTGTTCAAGTGTCGGGTCAAGTTGCCAACAAGTCGGCGGCGACAGACAGCAGCAAGCTCCACCTTTAATGTCAACGGAACACGCGCGACGGCCTCTCTAGAGACGTCGGCTAATCCTCTGTAGGAGGAGGAGGAGGGCAAATATGGTCATTTGAAAAGACATCTAATGTGTTGCATAGGATCGTGAGAAAATACCTTTTTTCGAAAAAAGAAAGAATAGAAAAAAATAAAAATAAAGGGATGATAAATAAAAATAATAATGATGATTTGCGTAGTGGTTAGTCAAATTACTAATAAATTTGGGTAGAGAAAAAGAAGGACGACTTTTGCATGTGATTCCATTCAAGTTTAGCTTTCCATCCACATCAAAAGTCCATAGCTCATGGGAATCCCATTTGATGATTTCACATCAAATGAGCCAGGTGCACCCCGCTCTCCTTTTAGGTCTCCTCGAGTAATTGCATCCACAAAAAATAACTAAATACATATCTTATTAACGGGTGTTGAGATCTTTGTTAATTTTTTCGTGTCGTGTGTAATTTACATTTTGAAATTGGACTGTTACGTGTTAAGCATTGCTTAGCAAATGTCTCGAGAACATCTTCAGAAAGTCCAAATGGTGGATGAGAAAAGAATCGATTGGTTTTTCGTTTCCTTCCTTAAATATTCGAAAATATATGGTCATGGTCAATCTTTATATTCCGATATTAAAGTGTAGGATTAGTTGTTTTGACGGATTAAGGAACACAAATTAAGTGTTTCGACCAAAATATCATACACTTAAAATACTCTTATTCGCGAAAGACATGAATCAGCTTCTTAAAGTAATTCAAAAGATATCCATCGGGCAACATAAGATAAAATGCGAGCCGAAATTTGAGAGCACCGCCAAACACTCACGACTAGAATGGCTTTTTAGTGAATGGGATCAAAATAATAAATCGAAATGCATCGGGTTATTCATTTTAAGTTAATTAAATTCGTGTTATGCAAATCTAGATGACCGTTCCTTGTTTAAGCAGCTCAAATGTATTCGAGATGATAAAACGATATTTTCGATTTGGCTTAAGACAAGCCAAACTAAACAAACTAACAAAAATGAACTTTCTATTACCGTAATTGGTAAAATTAAAGGATTAATACCACGAAAAACCCCAAACTAGTACACCTGTGATAATTTTACTCTAAACTAATTTTTTGACCAAAAAAAATACCAAATTGATACACTCGTGACAAATTTACCCTCAGTTTGTTTCCGTTAAATTTTACTACTAAATTGCTTTGTTAAATGACACACGGCAATTGACGGATGTGCCAGTTTTATGTTTTACCCTCCGTTTGTCATAGGTGTACCAATTTATTATTTTTTTGTATTAATCTAATTTAACGGAAACCGATGGAGAGTAAATTTGTCACAAATGTACAAGTTTGGAGTTTTTAGTGGTAAAAAAATTAGTTTTTGGTAAATCTATCACATGTGTACCAGTTTGAAATTTTTTGTGGTAAAAAAATTAATTTGGAGTAAAATTGTTACGGGGTGTACCAGTTTGAAGTTTTTCGTGGTATTAATTTAAAATTAAATATTCTAAGAAATTACAGCGCATCGAAAAAAACACGCCACCTCGACACGCCCGGAACGAGGGGCGCCGGCTGACGTGGCGGTCACGGGACTGCGGGGAAGACACTACGGTGCGCCCGTTTCCACAGACGACACCCCGATCTCCACCGTCGGACGCGCCACGGCCGACAAGAAGCGCGCGGATCGGACGACGTCCATTCAATTTCCTCGGATCCCACGGGGCGATCTTCTCAGCGCTCTCTCTCTCCCTGTCGGTCTCCCTCCACTGTTTCACCCGCACAACCCGCCCGCCTCTCTCTCTCTCTCTCTCTAGCGGCCATTTTCTCTCTCTCCAGAGCTTTCTCTCGCCTTCTCAAGAAGCATTGTCACCTCCCTCCCTCCCTCCCTCTCTCTCTCGCTGCTTTGGTGTTTCGTTGCGCTTTGGTCAGCGTGTTTCGTTTCCTCGTTTGGTTCGGTTCGATCGAGTGCTGCCAGCTTCTTGACTTCGCGCGCGCGCGCGCGGAACCGCGGCTCCTCCTCACCCCCGGAAAGAAAATCCCGTTTGTTCTTTTTTCCCGGGTAATGCTTCGTTCTGCCTCTGCTGACGAATTTGGAAATGGGGAGGTGTAATCTTTCGGCTCTGTTTCTTGAATCCTGCGGTTCCTTTGACGCTGCTCGTTGTTTAGCAACTATTTAACGAGGCTCCGGGTTGTGATGTTTGGTTTGGCGATAAATTCAACTTGGGTTTTTCTCTGGGTGCAGAATTCGGGGTCCTGAGGTTCAGGGGAGGCTCTAGGAGATGGACAGTTCGGAGAGATAGGTTGACGAGACTATTCCTTGAAGCGGGGGTGCTCTGGTTTGTTGTGTTTGTGAACCGATAGCTGTTTCGAATTATCGAAAGTAGGGTGTTCGGTTGTTTGAATCAAGATCTTGGTACAATGGCTGCCGCACTCAGCACCGTTGTATCAAGGTTGCAAATGCTGTCCACCTCTGATCATGCGTCCGTGGTGTCCTTGAACCTGTTCGTGGCGCTCCTCCTTGCTTGCATCGTGATTGGTCATCTCTTGGAAGAGAACCGGTGGATGAACGAGTCCATTACTGCTCTAATGATCGTGAGTTCTCTGTCTCTCACTCTGTATCTTCCTCTACTAGTGGAAAAGTTGTAGCCCAATTATGTTCTTTGCTCGCGTAGATTCGAGTCCAAAGTCATATCCTAAAGATTGAGCTTGTCGCTTGCACCTTGCGTGTTGGCGTGTTGGTGTTACTTGTACACGTGCGGGCATTTCTTTTGGTCTTGTGCCAGAGTGCTGCAGACTTCTGATTTATCCAAGAAGATTGTTACTAATTGCTTCAAATTCTTGGCAGGGATTATGTACCGGTATCGTTATCTTACTGACCACTGGAATGAAAAGCTCCCATCTCTTAGTGTTCAGTGAAGATCTCTTCTTCATATATCTTCTGCCACCCATCATATTCAATGCAGGGTAAGTTAATTCCCAACTGGAGTGGTGAAAAACTTTTGTCGGATCATCTTACACGATAGCGTCTAGGCATCATTTTTTTTCGTGGTAACTTCTAGGCATTATTTTTTGCTACATGTTTGTTTTTCAAATTTGTCTTGAGATATAAATAACTCCATTGACTGAGATTGGGCTGGATTTTGCCATAATTGTATAGATTATTTAAACCGTAAACAGGCTTTGAAAGAATTCTGATGTGGGCTATATAAACTGTAAAGGATAGACAGTGTAGATGGACAGAAGGCTGATCATCAAAGATTTGAATGATTTGATAGTCAGCAAAATGTCCATATATATTAATCTGTTATACTTTATGAAATATAGAGTTGACAGACAAGTTGTACAATTTAATTTATTGTCTTATCTTTAAATTTTCTCTCTTTACAAGAAGGTTGCCTGTCTTCTTGGGTTAAAAGTGTTCTGACTATTTTCTATGGGATTGATCTCCTTTCTATTTTCTAATCTTTGTTGAGTGAATAAATAATTTCTTATAGGCTTCCGATACGGGGTGTTAATATGTTATTTATTGGTGCTAATCATCCTTTTCAGGTTTCAGGTGAAAAAGAAGCAATTCTTTAGAAACTTTATGACCATCATGCTATTTGGCGCTATTGGCACCTTAGTATCTTGCAGTATTATTTCACTAGGTAAGTCAAAGGTTTTTACTTTTATTTTTTGGCTCGCCATGTCAAAGGTTGATTGTGTTTATTGTTGCTTCCATTCTTCAATGCCTTGAAGATCTATCACGCTGATTTTTACCTCAAAAGAAAATCCAAGCGACATTTTGGTCTGTTTCCAGGGTTGGGAGAGCGGCAAGTTACTGTTTGGGCAGTGGCCCCGTAGCTCTAGTTTAGATTAGCGGAAGACAAGATGGTGGTTATAAATAATATTTGCATCTAATAGATGATTGCAAATGCTTTTTTGTCAGGTGTTATACAGTTTTTTAAGCAGATTGATGTCAGTTCATTCGACATAGGGGATTACTTAGGTACAGCTTTGTTTCTCCTTTCATTTTTATGAGACAGTATGATATTTTTCTCTCTTGTGTCTATTTCTATTGGTAAATTATATTGCAAAAGATATGCTTCTGACTATTCGTCTGTATTGCCAATTGAAGCCATCGGTGCTATATTTGCTGCAACGGATTCTGTTTGCACTTTGCAGGTACTTTATTATTTATGCTTGAAATCGCTGTTTTAAACAATAATGTGGGACATGTAATCACCACCTTTTATATATGGTGCTCAGATTCTTAGTCAGGATGAGACACCCTTGCTTTACAGCTTGGTGTTTGGAGAAGGTGTCGTGAATGATGCAACATCAGTGGTGCTTTTCAATGCAATACAGAGCTTTGATCTTAATCATATCAATCCCAGATCTGCTTTGCAGTTCATCGGCAATTTCTTCTATTTATTCTCCACAAGCACTGTGTTAGGAGTGTTGGTAAGTCCACCCGACTTCCCCCAAAGTGGGCACGTGCATAGACACATGTATGCGCACAGACACCGACAAATCCTCATTCACAAGTTCTCTAAATAGTTATTGCCTCATCATTCGCATAATGCGATATTTTCTGTCCTTGCAGACTGGATTGCTTAGTGCTTACATAATAAAAAAGCTCTATTTTGGCAGGTACTTCTCAGAAACTGAATGTGCCGGTCACCTTAATTGTATCTTTTGGTTTTTCTATACTGTGTCTGGCGATAGTCAATAGCCTATCTAATTAAGATGTAAAGCTTTTGTGAGGCTAAGTTGATGTTTGGCTATCCCTGGCTAATAACACTCTAGTGGCTGATCTTCTGTGAAAGTGTGAGAGTTGTTATACCTTGTGGGGTGCCTTGCACCTAAGTTAGCTGTTTCTGTTCTCTCCTCATAATTAGGAAGTGTTTGCATGAGTTTGTTCTGATCGGGTATAATTAAAAGAATCTCTTTCAAGGTTTTGCCCAATTTTTGAATTTTTATCATCCCGAACCTCGATCACCACAATCACGTGGTAGATGTAATTATCTTGGGATATTGGATTTACACATACTATACAGGTGTTACATTGGAACATGTTCTAAGTTCGCAGTTCTTTTGTTTCCTGTAATATAATGGGTTTCTAAATTGAACATCACAATTCTATTCTGGAAGCTCAGGCACTCTACCGATCGTGAAGTCGCTCTTATGATGCTCATGGCATACCTGTCCTACATGATGGCTGAAGTAAGCTTTCTCAGAGCTTTATGGTCAGCTTTTGATAGCTCCTCCCTTTGTTTTCTTCAATTATCTAAATTCACGGCGGTCTTCTTTTTGACGTGTTGGTATCTCAATAATGCAGCTGTTCTACTTGAGTGGCATTCTCACTGTATTTTTCTGCGGGATAGTGATGTCCCATTACACTTGGCACAACGTGACTGAAAGTTCGCGAGTCACTACCAAGTATGCCTCTCTGAATTATTCTTAAATTGGCATTTCCCTAGCCTCTGTCATGAACTGTAACTTTACTTCCCTAATGCTTTTCTTTCTCTCATTGTCAGGCATGCTTTTGCAACCTTGTCATTCGTTGCTGAGACGTTTATCTTCCTTTATGTTGGAATGGATGCTTTGGACATCGAAAAGTGGAGATTTGTGAGCAATAGGCACGTCCTATTTTCCCTCTGACTATTTGGCTTTCATTCTATTGAAACTTACTATTTGCTAGTAATAGCTACCTTTAGTTTGTCTGCATTGCTAGGTGTAACTGACTAAAATGTACATTCAACCATCTTTTATGTTTGCAGTCCTGGGACGTCAGTTGCTGTGAGTTCAGTATTGCTAGCATTGGTTCTAGTTGGAAGAGCCGCATTCGTTTTCCCCCTATCCATTCTGTCCAACCTAGCCAAGAAAAACCCCAACGAGAGAATCAGCTTCAGACAGCAAGTATGTTCTGTGTGTGAGATGTAAATTATGACCTTTTTTGAGTAATCAATTCACCAGCTAACAACCATTAACCTTTAGGTGATTATATGGTGGGCTGGACTCATGAGAGGCGCCGTATCTATGGCCCTAGCTTATAACAAGGTAAATGAAGCTTTTGTGTGCGTTTGCTTGTGTGGGCTTGTGCTCGTCTGTGAGAGAGTGAGAGAGAGAGGGAGGAGCAATTTTATTTGACTCATGTTATTTGCTTGCAGTTCACTAGTTCTGGCCATACTCATCTGAGGGATAATGCCATCATGATCACAAGCACCATAACTGTTGTCCTTTTCAGCACTGTGGTAAGATGGCTTGCTCCTTTCGCTCTTTACTCTTTTTTCTGCACCGTTGTATAGAGTTGCAACATGGGCTCCTGCAGTTATATAATTTTTTGTTCATCACGGTTTAGATACTCTGATGTTTCAATGGTCTTACGCGTCGGTATTTTGCAGGTGTTTGGCTTAATGACCCAACCTCTGATAAGGTTATTGCTACCGCATCCGAAACACACAAGCATGGTTTTCTCTGATCCAAATACTCCCAAGTCCTTTACTTTCCCACTTCTCGGAGGCGGGCAGGATTCTGAAGGCGATCTTACAGTTGCCGACATCATCCGCCCAAGTAGCCTCAGGGCACTCTGGACCACACCAGCGCATACTGTTCACTACTACTGGCGCAAATTCGACAATGCCTTCATGCGCCCGGTCTTTGGTGGTCGTGGTTTCGTGCCATTTGTTCCTGGCTCACCCACGGAAAGGAGCGTCCATCAGTGGGAAGGCTAGGCAGCGTGTAGTGTAGTGTATCAATTAACGTAGCTATTGTTGAGAACCTGTAATGCAATTTTGCACGAGCCCTTTTCACGTTGTCTTTCTCGACGGAACAGAAGTGCTGTACCATATGGCAATAATCGATGATTCGTGTACCATAGATGTAAAATCAACTACGATGCATGCAAGGAGGGCCATGCCCGATGACACTGCTAAAGTCTTATTCACATCGAATTCAGTTAATTCTAGTATTTCACCGGTCCGGTATCATATTGAGCAGGTGAGGTTTCAATTTTGAAGACTGGATGCCTCAACTAGAACATTACATATGCAGTAAGTGCTCTCATTAGACACTTCACCGGACGGATACGTTTCGACCAATGCATCGAGTAATCACAAAGTCGACAGTCCAAGAGCAATTCTTGCAAAAATTACTTCCACAAGTATCTACATGCTTATCATCATATTGACAGATGGCAACAACAGCCAGATATCCAGTCTACAGCAGAAGATGAAATTATACACGATGGAGAATGGTTATCGACTCGACCAGGGACCGTCCACGACCTATGACAATGAGGCATGTTAACAATTTCACAACATTGATGCACAGCCTAATCCCATACAAAAATGGATCACATCTTACACATTACATTGTGGGCGTTCTGCCATCGGGCAATATTTACTCTCTTTATCTACAATTTTCATGATACAGCTACTCACGATCTGAAGTGACTTGATCACTCCCAGTCTCCATCGAAGAAACCCGCGTCCTTCATTTCGGAGTAGTACACATTCTCCAATTGCAAGTCCTCCTCCTATCATCATAATCAAGAATCTCAGTGTTACGACAATCTAAGCGAGCCTCTTCATGCTCACATGAAATCAAACTGCATAAAATGCTTTCTAACACCTCAATGAGAAAATTTGGGCATAAGGATGATGGGCTAACCTGGAAGAAGTCAGCTAGAAATGTGGCATACAAAAGGGGAAGGTAGAAGGCATGATAGCAGACGATTGTGGCACCGTATAACCTGTAAGATTAAGTGCTCTAAACATCAAGAAAATAGATCGCTAAACAAAAAGTTCGTCTGATGCAAGAAAAAGAAGAAAAGAAAGAAACAAATGAAAATTTGAATTACCACAACCCAAAGCCCGCTCCATTGCCAGTTAGGCCACATGCAAATAGAGCTAGCGCATTCATGATGAGCATGATGATTATATACCTGTAAAACGCTGGTCTAGCTGCAGAGAAATAATAAACACACCAAGCTGGTCATATTATACCAACGTAGATTGTCAGGAGATTCATTGTAAACATAGACATGGACATACCAGGTAGCCTTTCTCTCCACCTGGAGTGATACATGAACAATATAGAACCATAAACAGCTGTAAGCACCAGTCGGTGGACTACCCACAACCCCCATTTAACCTTATGAGGCTTTTCAATGTCATCAACAAACAAAGGGATTCCAAATGCGAAAAGATAAATTGCCTGAAATAGAAACCATGAGGAACCAAAAATCAATCTCCAGAGCCATAATATTACCCATTGTTAAAGAGAAGAAAAATCTGATAAAGATCACAATGACAAAAAAAACAAATGACAACAGGTCATTTCATAACCTTCAGGTCTCTTAGGGCTTGAAAGATGATTGTTTCCCGTGTATAAATTTATTTGAAAAGCGCACACACATCTCTTGTACCACTCATCATAAATAAATTTGTTACATCAGAAGACACAATGCATGATGCACAAAAGGAAAGAAGACGGTGTGCTTCAACCTGCTTCTTCATTCAGAAGGAGGAACATGGGGACAGTTCGTATATTGCAAAAGGCAAAACATTACCTTGAGAAGAAGATCCAAACCAACAACGAGCCCCGAGACAACAAATGTACGAGTAAGTGCATGCAACCCGCTTGCCGAGTTCCCTTGAAGCAAGAAAGCCACCAAGCTTACTTCGAGAAAAAGCATTCCAGACGTTGTAAACAAAGACAAGATGTTCCAGGCTACTTCCTTCCCAGGAGTGCATTCCCATGCCTTTATCAACAAAAGAGCTGATCAAGCATTTGTAGAGCAATGAAAGGTCCTTCAAAGTACAGATCTACGTAACTTAAAACTCAGCTATTGTTCTCGTGTACAGATATGTATCATGGCTTGACTCTTCTAGGAATAAAATGTGCAATACAAGGACTAGAGATGGATACAAATATTTTGAACACCAGAACTTGGTCATTAGAAAACAGAAAATTAATACCACATTCATCTGCAAAAAGGCAAAGATGCTTGACTGTTGATAACTTTAACAGGATATTCATCCGTTGTCCTTCAAATGTTCTCATTATCTTTCTTCACTTTTTTTAGCTATTGAGATTTAAATTATTCGTAGCTCTGCAACAAGACACGAAGCTGCAACTATTGAGTTTGAGATTACGTGTGCCGACCCACAATAAGTCCCGCGCCATGTCCTGTAGACATAGGGTGTATATCACCTCCATAGAACTGAGTAGCATGGTAGCAGATAAGCAATTAAAGAACAACCCAGATAAAAGAGAAATTATTTGGTTTTTTTTTCACTTACATGTTCTCTTCGTGTTTAATTCACGAAAATGATTGCTTTTTCCTTTTTTTGAGACTCAAAAGAGATGTTAAAACTATAAAAGCATGTTGGGTTGGCATATTTTTATTTTTTCTCTTTCTTGTATTAGATGGTTTAAGACTAATATCGTCACTGCTCCTAAGTCCTTAGCTACCTTATCTGAAAATCTCATTGCTTATCCAGAATTTTGAACCAATAAGGTAGTTGTTAATGTCCTTAGTGTCAACACAATTCTTCAAGAACTTCCAGTTGGTGTGAATTACATGACCTTTAGCATAGAAAAATCAATGCCAGCAGTCACTGGTGCTTTAGGTGACAACGGTTGAACATTCCTTGGGTTAGGCTTACTACTACTTCCCTTAAAAAATTCGACTTCATAAAGTTCAACAATGACTTGGAGTGCTACACAGATGACGTGGACCTAACTAGGGAAGCATTAGGACAGGGGAGTGGAGTTGATATCCGTAGGTTGAAAATGTGTTGTTGTGTGACTTGTGATATATTCAAGTCGTTCGGAGTTGGTTGGGATATGTTCAATGGAATGTACCCCATGTATGACGGTAACTAGAAGCTTTCACAGCAATTAGTGCGGACTTTTGACCAAACTGTCATCACCGATAAGCAAATTCCTTACATACAAATGTCAAATGATGATTAAGGACTATCCTGTATTATGTCTGCATTTCAATTTTCAAGAGTAACATCAGTAGGTGTCATCCATAATTGAAATAATCAAAGTTAGAACAATGATATCTGATAAAGAACTACCAGTATAGAATTGTTCTATTGCCGCATCTGACCTCCATTTTCACACCAATAGGGATAGCCATCTCAGGTACATTAGCAATAGGAAATAATTACATGATGAAGAGAACCGCATGCCAAAGGAGGTACGGGTGGACTTCTATGGAAATAATTTCACATTTAGAAATTTGGCTATACACCCAAAATGACAAAGAACGTGTGTTGTCGAATAATTCGTATTCACTTCTTAGAAGACTCCAGAAATTCAATCGAAAAGCAATTCTATCTTTACCAACGCCAATTCAAGTCATCCTATGTTCATCATCCTGACTAGTTCTTCTGCCATTTTCCACCGCAACCACTAATCCACACCTCGTGCTAAAAATCCAGCCCTTCAAAACTTCCCTCACACTTCTGCACAAGACACTCAAACAAACCCCTCATCGGAAAAGCTACACCTCCTAAACCAATCCAAACACCGTAAAGATAAAGCTCAAAAGTGTCAATCAAGAGCCATAACAAGCTGCAACAAATAGCACCAACTTGAATAACCCATTCACAAAAACTCACTTCAAATCATAAACAGCGACGGGCAACAACAACAATCACCTGTAGAGAGCACCAAGTCAGGTTGAGCAAGCTAACGAGCCAGAGGCAACCGTAGTAGGCGAGCATGATGGACGACCTCTCGCTCGACAGCTTCGAGAAGCTCTTCCTCGCCTGGGCGGCCAGGTAAAGCGCGAACGCGAGCGAGGACGCCACCAGCAGCACGTTGTGCCAGAACCCATGGCACTCGAAGAGCCAGCCGTACACGGCCGGGCCGGCGAAGCTCCCCTCGGCGGCGGCAAAACCGACGCCGCCGCCGCCGCCGCGCCGCGAGATCGAGGCGGCGGAGTCTACAGCTTCTTCCAGGGACCGCATCATCTTCCGGAGTCCCGAACTGGGTGCCCGTAAAAACCCTAGCTTTCGGTCCGCGAAGGTGAGCGGAAGAGGTGGAGATGAGCGGAAGAAGACGGAGAGAGAGAGAGAGAGAGAGAGAGAGAGAGAGAGGTGGCTCTAACAGCGATGCGAGAAAATTTGGTGGGAAGTGAAAATGGAAGGACAGCTGAGGGGTATAACGGGAACCAGCAGAAATTATTATTATTTTTCTTGGACAACGACACAAAGGAAAGTCTCCGAGTTTTGATTTAATGTGACATATGGTTATTATATAATCTTTGAATTTTAGTCTAATATTTAACGTGATTCTTGAACTTTCAACTTGTTCAATATTTTTTATGCATGTTCAATGTGGTCTTTAAATTAATGGAAGGATTACATTAAATATTTTCATATAATTTAAAGACTAGATTATACCAAAAATTCAGAGACGATATTGAACAAATTAAAAATTTAGAGATCAAATTGCATATTGGGTTAAAGTTCATGAATCATTTTGAATAAATTAAAAGTTCATGAACCATATTGGACCAAAGTTCATAGACTATTTATGTTGTTTTTATTTTTTTTCTTCCATTTTTTTTCCTGTGATGGACAGGACAGATTTAATAATTTTTATTAAAATACTAGAACATATATTCATGTTGATTGCACGGTTCAAATGCTTTCGTACCAACCAAGGAATGCCAATTAAATCCAGATTTTTTTTTTCTGGACATCCTTTGACCTAATATATTTTGATAGAATATAGTAATAGTAAGAGGGTGTTTTACATGGCTTCTTGATAATAATTGAAAAAAATGAGGGCTTCAATTTCTATAATGTTCGACCAAAAAAAAAAATTTCTATAACGTGATTAAAACACCTTGCAAAGTTTTTGGACGGTTTACTTCGCTTAATTTTACCGGATGCCGACACTTTAAGTCTCATGTTGCCGAAAATGCACGTCCCAAGTGATTACAATGCAACTGCAATGGATTCTAATTTATTGGTATGTAACGACAACATCGTGAGAAAAATAAATGACATAGGATGAGTTTATTTCGTGAAAGAATAATTTAAAATAGATTTTACTAAAAATGATTGCTCGTATCACTTACAAAATGAATGAATGAAAAATATTTTCATTGTTCATGAAAATATTTAGATATGAATTGTTGTTGATAATGAAAATATTTTTTTGCAACTAATTAATTCAAGCATACAAGTGATTCTTTTTAGAAAAATATTTTTAAATAATTTATTTTCCGAAAAACAAATAAAGTCTGAGAAACTTTTTGCTAGGGGTAACTACTGGGGGTCATTCAATACGGGAATCAGACCGAAACGGCTCCAGTTCTCGATTTATCAAACCTAAAATCGGCATAGGATGAGTTCGGTTCCCATTTCCAAGGTCAAAAGCATCGATTCTATCCGAGAATCGGTTAAACTAGTCCGATCCCGAGTTGAACCAGTTTTAAATAGATTTTGAAGCCTCTTTTAGAAAAAGGATTATACTTTTGCACCAATTAGAACTGAACCATAATTTTCAAGATGAAAAAAATAACAACACAACAGCTTAACTAATAAATGCTTTTTGTAGTGAAATAATGCAGCTTTTATATTTTATTACAAGAGTTTGGCTTTAAACATAAAGTGGGCTAAGTCCAGAGTAGAATCGCGAATTATATCCAAATCCGTTGGTCGGTTTAGTAACTGGCAATTCTAGAATCGACTGGTTTGGTTCTCGATTTCACGAGATTGGATTCTGGTTCTAAGTTAGGAATTTGTCTACCCTGAGATCGATTGCCATACTCTTTGATTGAGAATAAAATTGTATGCATCGGAGGAAGTCTAACAATAGCGCAGCCCCAATATCATTTGAGGTCAACCAATTTGCATTATTTATTTATTTATTATTGACATGCTACCTAGAAAGCAAGATCTCTTTCCCATTTCTTTTTCCAATTTGTTCAGCTTATTTTGTCAACCGCGCTGTCAAAATTGGACCGCACCTTCTTTATCCAATAAAATAGAAAAAAAGATGAAAACGAAGACCAAATAGAAAACGACATCCCACGGATCAAAACGGTGCGTCGAAGCTGTGTGGGTAGTAGTTGAGAGGGATAATAATGACGTAAACAGTTTTTGAACTTTGACCGGACGGATAATGTGGTTCATGAATTTTTAATTTATTGAATATAGTCCTTAAACTTTAGCCTAATATTTAATGTGGTCCCGAACTTTTAATTTGTTAAATATGATATCTGGACTTTTGGTACATATTTAATATAGTCTTTAAACTTTCAATGTAGTTCATTACATTAATAAAAGGATTATTTTAAATATTTTTTATATAATTTAAGGATTAAATTAAATTTGTATTATAATTTTATAGACGATATTGAATAAATCGAAAATTTAAAAATCACGTTATCCGTAAGTGTCATTTTTCCGGTTCTTTTCTCTCTCTCTCTCTCTCTCTCTAGCTGGCCGGACCTGACCCACTGTGTTCTCCTACTATAAAAGAGTCAGATTCCCACAAGAAAATTTGGTCTTTTCTCCACGCATTGGCTGTTTCAGCTTCTTCCTCCGCTGCGTGTCGTTATCTCTCGAGGAGGGGTGCCCTGAGGTAGCTTCCTCCATTTTCTCTCACTTAATTTCTGCTCTTTGAGAATCAACGTTGCAGTGGTTGATGATGCTGGGTCTGACATGCAGTGTTCAGATTGTTCTTCCTTGACGTTTTCTTTTTTCTTCTTTTGATGCTTTGATCGGATGCACTTGTTTTGGGTTATGGGGTTTGATCGGTTTGGTCCCCGAAAGATCTGATCTTGATCGAGGAACGAAGACTTCCTTTTCTGACGGTGGCAAATGCTTCGATTCCGTTGCTACGGAAGAAGCGCAGAGCTGGGATGGTGTCTCTGTGTTTGTGTGTGAAGAATCACCAGTTGACTAGGTTTTGAGTTCCTGTATTGAAGTGGAGAGGAGATGAGTTTGCTTAGATATAGTCTAATTGGTTCTGGCAGAGCAGTTTTTTCGAACATGAGATCTAATAATTTGCATATTACTGAAACTGGGTCATGAACAGAAGTTTGAAATGTCTTTTGTATCGTCCGTCTGCTAACTTTGCGGCTTCTTTTGAACCCATGTTCCTGCTTTAATTGCTAATTTCTTCACAGTTTCGTTGTGCTTCATTTCTTTGTTTTTGTGGGTTAATTTATGTTTACCTTTCACCATTTCAGAATGACCATTTGCATTTGTGGCGTTTCTTTCTTTGTTTAAGCTTGCGTGATTGCTGAGTCTAAATTTTTTCTTTTCTCTGTATAGATCACAAGGAAAGATGGTGAAGGCTGTTGTTGTCCTTAAGAGCAGTGAGGGTGTCTGCGGAACTGTCTACTTCGCTCAACAAGCAGATGGTAATACAACCTCTGATTATAGAATCTCGGACTTGTTTTCGTGTTTGAGGTCCAATGAATCTTTTATGTCTTGCTTTGTTCTTTTCAGGCCCGACCACAGTAACTGGAAGTCTGTCTGGCCTTAAGCCTGGACTTCACGGTTTCCATGTCCATGCTCTTGGAGACACCACAAATGGCTGTATGTCAACAGGTATCTTTTGATTACAGTGGTTCTTCTTATCAATGAAATAGTGTATACACTATATCTTCATTTACATAAATTAAATATCTATCTTCGTTGACTGTTGTTATGATCTTTGAAAATGGCATTCACAGGACCACACTTTAATCCTTGTGGCAAAGAGCATGGAGCCCCTGAAGACGAGAACCGTCATGCGGGAGATTTGGGAAACGTGAATGTGGGTGATGATGGTAAGCTTTACAAAGTCAATCGAACCTCCTTTACGATTAATATGCAACTTATGAATGCAGGATGTCGAGATGAATGTTAATGGAAATACTTGAAGATGTTGTGACTTTACTCACCCATTGGAATGTGCATTTTGTCAAGCATTACAATTTTCCATATGGTAGAAGCTGTTAAATTAATTATGTTTTTCCTTGTGATTCAGGCGCTGTTAGTTTCACAATCATTGATAACCAGGTTCTCTACTATCTATCTGTACTTAGCAACTGGCATCGTGTGTTGAACTACCATGATTTAGATCTCTTTGAAGCCTAAACTTATTTTGATGAACCTTTTCTTTTTGCAGATTCCTCTTAGTGGACCAAATTCAATTATTGGAAGGGCGGTCGTTGTTCATGGAGATCCCGATGATCTTGGCAAGGGTAATTTTTGAGAATTTAGGCCGTGTTTGGTTCGCGAAAAATCTCCACTTTTGCTGTTTTCAGTTTGGTTTTTTTAATTAACAGAAAGGCACTGGAGAATGAAAATTGAGAATAACTCCAAGAGTGTGCTTGGCTGTAGTTTATAAGAGTTTTCAAAACAAATATAGAGAAACTACTTTTAGCTTGGAGTAATAAACTGAAAACAATGTTTTGTGCTTGGTAGTAATTTGGTTCCTAATGAAAGATTGCAGTTTTAGAATACCAACAAAGTACAAGCACATAGTCACCATATGAAGAGAATAGCACTTCCATTAATGAAACATTCTGGAGAAAACAGTAAACGGAAGTTGACAATGTTTTCTCGTTCCAAATGAAAGCATGCGTGTTTGGAATTCCAATAGAATACAAGCATATTTTCACCGACTAAAGAGAATTGGGCCTCTCTGACCAAAAAAAAAAAAGAGAGAGAGAATTAGGCCTCCACTAACCAAACATGTTTTTGAGAAAACAACAAACGAAAGCTGAAAATGTTCTCTCATACTGCACAGGCCCTCGACGTTCTAAAATGCTAGTTTCTCTAGCTCAAAGAGTGTTGATTAATAAACATCTTTCCCATCCCTGGTTTTTTCCAATGCTAAAAGGGAATTAGTTATGGTTATAAGCATGCTATTGGTGGTTAATATTTTCTTTTGGTGTGGCAAATAGCTTGTAAGGCTTATTTATATTTAAAAAAAGTGCAACTTTGTTTCTTTTCCTATACCCAGGTGGGCATGAACTTAGCAAAACAACCGGGAATGCTGGTGGCAGACTTGCTTGTGGTAAGCATTTTAGCTTTAACTTACTGCAGTGACACATCCTAGAATTGCATATTAAATGACATTTAGCATGCTGCTTTTAGTTGCCCCCAGTTTTAGCAGCTCACTTGTAGGTGGGCAGAGGGATGTTAGCTGATAGATGTCACTTGCCTCGACGTTGATCTTTTACGGCTCTTTTACTTTCTGTTGCTCGTACTAATTGCTGAGACAAGTCGGCACAGTTCAGTATGCATCTGCAGATGAAGTCTATTTGATCTTTTGTGAATTATATACATCCCCACATCATCTTCAAAATGTTCATCATACAGTGCACATGCAAACTTAGACAGCCATGGGATTTTTTTGTTTCCACTTCTTATGGTTTGTTTGCTTCTCCCTCTTCAATTTGGCAGGGGTTATTGGCCTTCAGGGATGAACTGCATCCTTCAACTACAGTAACCACAGTCGTGCGCTCCTGTAGTTATGGGGTTCTTTGGGAATGAAGAATAAAGAGCAGTCTCGGTGTGTCTTTTTTTTTTTTTTGTCTTGGAGTGGTTTGTAATTGCTTTCATTTGGTGCATACTACAAACTTTGCTGTTGTGCCTTAAAATGTTCACAGGCTTTTCTATAGCAAAATGTGGAACTTCATGTATTCTCAAACACAAAGTTGAGACGGCTCACGCCAGAAAGTTACTTTTGTTGTGGATATTATCTAAGCTCTGTGTTCATAAGATGTCTGGAATTGACATCTTATATGGTCACCACGATATATTTCAGCAACCAAAAGCGTTTCTGTGCTTTTATTCCCTTTTCCCCTTAAAGAAGTGATTACCGAGGTAGACTAGTAGGGTAGTGGGACTGAACTTGTACTAATGTTCACATAAAAAAAAATGACCAACTTCTTGAAATCGACTGAGTAGCACTCTTGGTCGACAAGAATAGATTTTGGTTAGAACAGAAGTCACCATTCAACAGGATGAGCTTGTCGACGAAGAAGAGAATCGACACCATACAGTGTCAGTCATCAACAAGAGCTCTCGCCCGAACCTAAGAGAAGTGGGTTGACGAGGTAATAGATAGCAAGCTATCCGAAGTTTTGGCTGTGTTGGAACCGTGACATATGATGCAAGAAACGCATTGGCAATCAAGCGATGCATTCCCCTTTGTTTCGCTGGTTAAGATAATGGCCACCCTCGGGTTTTATAAACAAGACATCCATAGTATGATGAACAAGACTCCCACGTCAAACTACACAGCTACAGCTCGACCAAAGAGTTGACAAATTGAGTTTAGTATCGTTTACGTCACATCCAGCCGCATCGGGTTGTCCGCACCATAGTATGCCACACCTAAATTCATCATTAATACCTTGGGCGATGGCTAAGGCAAGGACTCTTCCGACGGCATATGTTCCCTCATCGACTCTTGGGTCGACAAGCTCCATCACAAGGATAGGCTTCTAAGTCATCTTGGTTTGGTTAGGTTCAAGTTTGAGTGTTGGGACGAGGGTCATGAGCCCAGTTGTTTTATGCGGGTAGAAATTTTCTCGACCATTCCCTGACCCATTCGTCATTATATTGACCCGTTTACCTTATTTTGCTGAATGAGTATTGCATTGATTATACAGAGACTTTACGCATCGATTGCAATAGTTCTTCAATGAACTTTGAAACTAATTGATCTGGCAGATCGTATAACAAAGCTTGGGATTTGAAACGTTTAGGAAATAAGATGTTGCACCAAGTAAAAAGTTGGACTACCTCCTTCAAAGCTGAGATATGGGCAATTCTGTCTCTTGTCAATCGGTGGCATTCCCAATACCAACTATCGGCATTTGAGCAATTAACAATAACACTACTGCAAACAGAAGACTGGAGATGGAGACCGACATAATTTTGGTACAAACCTAGAAATTCGAAAAGGTTTATAAGGTAAAGTTATGAATAAAGTAGAATATGAGTCAAGAACTAGATGAATGACCTAAACATGGATTTGTTTGCACCTTGGTTAGTATGAAAAATCGAATAGCAAAATCATTGATGACCTAATTATATCAATGGATTTCTTGCCAAAAGAAGAGGGATTCGCTTCCTTGTATGCATTGGCCCCAACAAGGAAAACAGCAACATGCCATTTCCGTTTTTAATTTGCCAATTAAAATACTCATGTCATGTACGTATGGGCTCTCTCTCTCCATCCTGTCACAAATAAATCAAAGTACTACGGTTCTGAAAGAACCGGCCGTATACATACAAGAGAAATGAAAAGAGCATCTCTCTCTTTTGCTTTCGTGGTGACCCTCGTGCTCTTATCATCATGTAAGCCTGTCTCGTGAAACGTGCCTTTTCTTGTTTCTATAGTTTTTCAATCACGATAAGGAAATAGTTTTTATACTGAACTGTGTATATACTGTAATATTTGAAAAAAAAAAAAGGTCAAAATGTCAAAAATGTTGAAAAGTCAACATTTGCTACAGTGGACTTCAATTATAAAGGAGGACCGAGAGCTTTCGGGGAGAAAGGAAAAGAAGAGAGAAAGGAAGGAAAGAAAGGAAAGGAGAAAAAAGAAAGTGGGGAGAAGGAGAAATTTAGCGCGCTCATGATCCGGACGACTCGCCAAGCCGATTAGACTTCGATTAGCAATGCCCGGTATGTATTCGCACCCCTCGTTCGTTCCATCGGAGTAGTTTCGGATTTAGGGCTTGGAATTCGGAATTATTTGAAATTTATACGGCGAAATCCGATTTTTGAGTCGTTGAACTGCGTATATATATAGAATTGATAGTTTGTGGTGTTGTGGAGCCGTGGGATTTTACGGATCTTGATTTGGACCTACAGTTTGCCCAATATGAATTTTTGAAGTTGGCCGCATAAGGTGAACAGTGCGCGATCAGCGGGCTTTAGGCCGATTTTCGTCGGTTTTCGGCTCGATTTTGGGACAGCCAAGTTGGGGCTTTTGTAATACTCGGAACGGACTTTCTTTTGACTATAAGTTTGTTAGGATCGGAGTTCCATGGAGAAAGTTATGACGCGATCAAGTTTTGCGCTCAAGTTCCGCGTTGCAGACGGTTTGGATAATCACTTTGGATAAGCAATTTGTGGACGCCTTTGAGTTGTCTTATCAGCGTTTAAGCGTCGTTTAGCCGTTTAGTAATTATCGTAGTATTTTACTTGGTTTTGATGTCGATTATCGTTCAATTGATAGGATTACGAGATTATCGGGGCGTTTAGCCACGTTATTTGGTTTTGGGGCATTCCAGGTGAGTAGTGCTATCTCTTCTATGAATTTATAAACTCATGTTTTGAAAGTGATAAGAATTTGAGTATCGTACGAGTTACTAAAGCATGTTTGTTGCATAAAATTCTGGATCGGGCCATTGCTACTTTTTGATATTTGAGAACGATTTGAGGAATTTGAGAATGCTTTTAAGAAATATGTTGCGAATTAGTTTATGGAATGAGTTATAAATGAATTGAGAAAAGTTTTATGAACAACGTTACGTACATGTCGATTTATGAAGAAGTCTGAAATGATATGAGATATGTCTTGTGAAATGTTTTCAATTTGACAAACGAAGTTGAGAAAGATTATACGTTTTGGTTTGTCAAACCATTTTCTGAGATTGATTATAAATTGATTATGAAATGGTTTTGGAACTATATTGTGATTTATGATATGGGTTATGAAATGATTTCTGGATTTGGCATTGTGGAGGATATTGTTGAGGATGATGATTTGATGCTCAATATCGCTGTGAGCCCATTGAGGAGCGTGTGGGTATGCGCATACTAGTCTAGGATATCCTTGTGGGCCGAGCCACCGGCTTATAGTAGGTGGAGACCTTGCCAAGGAGGGAATCTTGGTCGCCTTATCACAGGACGAGATACGTGATCATGGTTTGATATTGAGCAATAGATTGGTCGATGGATAGACCATTGATGTGTTTTCTGCTGTGCCAGGGCAAATCCTTGAGAGCAATGGCAGTGCGGCTGCGGCTCAAAAAGGATAATATCGGGTCGGGTTGAGGGATGGCAGTGCGGTTGCGCCTATACCCCGAACGAGCCCTTTTATGATGAGATTAATCAATGAAATAGACCATTGATATGTGAGTTATTGAGATTGGTCAATGGATTGGACCATTGACGTGTGATTTGACGAGATTAATCAATGGACTTGACCATTGATGATTGAATTGTAATGGCGTATTAAATGAATGTTTTCTAGTTTGTATCGAGTTTTGCGAAAAGGAAAAATAACTCATATTTGATATGATATGTATATGATATTGTGGGTTTGAAAATATGAGTTTTCGATATTTTTATCTATGCATAGTGGTTGCTCGATCTGCTTAGAAGAGATATGCACTACTTACTGAGCTGTCGTTGCTCACCCCCCTCTTTTCCCAATTTTTCAGGTTTTTTGTTTAGCAGCCAATAGAGCGAGAGCGATGTCATGGGGACTTTTGGGTGATTTGAGGCTGCGTCCTTCAAGTGGAAGGACGGCCGTATCATCCCCCATCCTGGTAGATTTTGGGGTGTGACATATACATAGGTTTGATGCTTGAGACAGAAGCAAGAGATTTGACAGTGCCAAACATAAGTTGCCGAAATCGGGCAAGCTGCATCAGATGGTGCGGCGGATGCTCCAGAAACCAGTGCATCCACGGCCAGTGCACTTGCGGTTGCGTGGCGGGTCGAGGGCTAAAGCATGGATGAAACTGACCTAGAGAATTACAAGTAAATTGCTTGCTGGATTTACTTGTTTTGTTTGGTTGGTATTTGCTTCAATAAAGGTGTTGATAGCTTAGATTATCTCTTGAACAACAATCGAATTCGCTTCTATATTGTGTCTCCTTTTGGTGAATTGAGTCCTTCTATTATTTGTGTTAGGGGTGAGGGATTCTAGGTTCTTTACAAGTTCCATCTAGAACCTACTATCAAATACAGGTTCCTTATTTTTTTGAACCTAAACCTACCCATCGAAACTTGAAACCTGAAACTTACCAGGGTCTAATAGGTACTTTTTTTTTGTTTCATTTTTTGTTAAACAAAACGAAAATGAACACAACAATACTAAACAAGCTTGTCATTCACCAAAGAGGATACAAAAGATTAGTTTTTCTAGCATAACAGTTCAAATGAATACAATTAAAATGAGATGTTATTGTGTGAATCGAAACACAATAGAATTCACAAGAGACTAACATGTTGATAAAGACAATATCCAAGACCACAAACAAAATGTTTACATATATAATTCTAATTGCCATCGATCAAAATGCTTCACCAGCTTAAGCTCGTCACGAGCAAGAAGCTAAATAATCCACATTCGTAATGCTCTCTATAACGGAAGGAAGGGGAGGGGGCCTTTCCTTGCATCACAAGGACACATTTTCAACATGCACATAAAGTCCATCCAACTCCAAAAAGGATAATTTCAGTTACTCTTTTCCCTTTTCCTAATTTATTACTAAATAAATGGATTTTTCCAATGTATAAAATAAAAATTCCACTGGATTTTGCTACTATAACCTTCCCAACCACGATTTGTCCTTTTTTTTTAATAGGCATTTCACCTCAAAAAGAGTAGAAGAGAGTACCTTCAAGATAAACGTCGGAAATTTATTGAATTGTGCTTCTAGAAATTGAATCAATCAAATTGACCAATTACATTCATCTACACATCAACCTCGACAAAGAAAAGGACTT